CTATCTGGATCGCAAGACATCCAAGTACTCGGGTACTGGAAAACCGCAGTCTTATGTGGAGACTGTCAAGCGCAGGACGAGGAGCAAGGTGGCCACTTGGGCCTCTAGGTGCCAAGTATATCAGGATAGGAACACCGCCCTCCGACAACACCTGGCGGTCACACAGAAGCTATACCAAGCCTTGCAGCAGCAGAGGGAGGATGCGGCGACGAAAAGCCAGGCGGAGGCCGAGCTAATGCGGGTAAAGATCGAGTCAGAATTGCAGGAAGAGCGGAGACAAAACCGCATCCTAGCAGCAGAGCTTGGGCGCCAGACGCGCGCCTTGGAAGAAAGTCAAAGAGCCCGCAAGGAGGATGAGGAGTTGTTGCGCAACTTGCAATCCGAGTGCTCGGATTTGAGGGCGCAGCGTGCGGAAGCGGAAATGCAGCTAGCAGAGGTGGAAGGCAGCTGCAGGGCGCGAGAAGAGTTGGCGACGCGGGTGACTCACTGTCTAAAAGGATACGCCCATTGGGAGGTGGCAGCTCAAGAGAGGATCACACTCAGGGAGTTCGAGCTTCGGGCGGCGGCATTGACGGAGGGTGACAGTCGGAGTCGGCGGCGAGTAGCGAGGAAATTAGAAACCTTCTTGTCGGGTGCGCGCGACACTATGGCGCACTTAGAGTCGGAAGTCACTGCAGCCCTCCGACGCCTGGGGTTGCGCAGCCGGTCGGAAGACTGGCAAGGTAGAGATAGCGAGCGGAGCAGTCCGGCGCGCAGGAGGCGCAGCACCGAATCTGCAGAGTGCAGTAGTATAGTTTGGTTTCGCGCAGATGTTGCGAGTAGTAGATAGCATAGCGTAGTGTTAGTTAGAACCTTTGAGGGTATAAAGTAGATCAAGGCGTTTTGCCTTGGGACTCTTCCAGTTTTGGAAGTGCAGATCAGGAACTCACTTTCTTGGCGTGTTTGTGCATTTTGGTCCTGGCACCACGTAGAGAAGCTGCAGCATAGCGAAGTTACCGTATGTTGTAGTTGAAGGCCTTCGGCTGAATGTTCAGAGCTAGCATCCGGTTAGAGACTTGAGTAGTGCGGATCTGCACCTGCGGGTGATTTCTGATGCTCAGAGCCGGCTGCGAGTTAGATACTTGAACAGTTCCCCCTTACTCCTTCGAGTGACATATCCTGATTGTACTCCTACGGGAAGTTTCCCCTGAATGCCAATGTGAAGTTTTATTACTTCGTGTAAGCCTTGGTTTGCAATTCAGGTTGTGTGTGTGTTACTGGATCGTGTCTCAGTTAAGTTCTCAGTCGGGCCTGCACTCCCTGCGTTTGGTGTGAGAGTCGAGGGTGACGTCCACGGCGTATGAAGAGGCTTCGTTCCGAAGTGGGAAGTCCAGTCCGGGTACCCTACGCTAGTTCCTAGCGGAAGGGCAGTAAAAGCCGGAGTGGGAGTCACTACCTGCAGAACCTCTGAGTGAACTTTTGAGACACTTTCCTCCTGAAATCCGAAGCGGAGGTCCTGACCGACCTCCGAGTTGTGCTTTTGCCAGTTTCAGGTGTGTGTGTGTGTGTGTGTGTGTGTGTTGAGTGACCACGCTGTACCGTGCATCCTCCGAGCATCCTCCGAGTCGAGATCCTCCTCCGAGTCGAGCCTTCGAGTCGAGCACTGCAGTATTTCTGGGAGTGACAGTCGCCTAGAATTCAAACTCTACAAAAGTCTGTTAAACGTGACACTTTTACTCTGTGTGTTGCCTCTGTCCCTGTGGGTTCGATCTTTTTACCACCATACTGCAGTTTTAGCCTTTGATGGGTTATTACAACACCTATGAATAACTAGAATTTAAGATAACATTATAAAATAACCAAATTTTCATCTTGAATAATCTCAATTTTGATTCTAATCAACTAAATATAGTAATAGTAAAATAAAAATATTTGTAAATTGTACTATAATCAAGTTTTATCGTGACGTAGTTCATCTTTACACTCGTGATTAATTCAATTATGTTAAAAGTACAAATCTTTGGAGCAATGCTTTTGTTGGATTTATGGATCATTTTTCACTCTTATCAATCATACATGTGAAATGAATTTGTTGTTCAAACACTACTAGGCAATTTTCATAAAGTTTGATTCAAGCAATGATTTCTAGTTGATTAAAATAAGAGTAGAGTTTATTCAAAATAGAGATTTAGTTACATTCTAGTGTATTATAATAATTTTCAAAATAAACTATGTTCTTTAATGGAAAATATATTCATCATATGATTCAATTTAAAAATCAACTGGAAAACTAAATAATATATCTTTGATAGTTCAAAAAGTATTATACAAATATTAAGTACAAGATTTTAACAAGTTACATTTTAAAAGCATTAGATTTGTAATCATCTTAAAATATAGGTTAATCAAAATAGAATATAGTTGGACATGATATATTACCCATAGTCATTGACATTAGTGCATATGCTTGATAGATAAAACTAAAGTGTGTTAGTTGATAATAACAAGTCCATAATTCATGGCTTTGTTAAAATTATTGATCATGAAATTTATATAAAAGAAATAAAACTGTTTTAGATTTCTCTCATTTTCAAAATTGTGCTTTATTTTTTTATGAACTAAAGAATGTTTGAAAATATTGCTAAAACCATAAAAAACATGTTCGTTTTGCAAAGATATTTGTTCTACTATCAACAAACCATAATATTTGAAATACTTCTAATTTTCATTTTGCATTCTGATGTGAATTTTTTATCTAAATTTTTATTTTTCTATCATGTTTTGTTTACTTATATAATGATGTTTTCACATGCTCCTGGTTAGACCAATTTTGATGTTCGATACCATGACAACACATCTGCAATTTTGTCATCCTAAACTTACACATACGGTTTTTTACTGTCACTCATTTGGACTGGACTGTAACAATTGATATCTTTACGTTGATTATTTCATTAGCAAGACATTGCAGCCGCCACAAATATTGAACCACCGACAGGACTTGAACCCGTATAACATGTACATAACTCGGAAGGCTTTAAGTGAGGTGAAATATGGAGAAAACGAACGTGAACTTTACTGTTAGTTACACTTGTCAATATTAATAAGATTTTCACAGCAAATGGCATGCAGACTTCCTCTGAAGGAAGTGTGTTCTGTACTGCGCATCATCAAGCATGTTCGTGGTATCATACTCACGTTATCCCTTGAAATTCTCGGCATGTTAGAACTTGGTCCATTGTTGGGTGGTTCTTAAATCCGCGACGGTATTACGTAACGCTAAATATCTCTCTACGTCAACAGAGCAACATGGATAGCTTGTCGAATATTGCAGAAACTCAGATCATGAAATGTATAAAACAAAGTCTGGATTAATATGAAGTCAGTTTTGGGACATGTTTCCTTGAACACTTGGTGTAGAGTCTTAGGTACGTGTGAAAATGATTGAAATCGTTCATCGCGGGACTATCAAACAAGGAAGGTACTGGTAGACAGACTCGGTGGGGTTTTACGAACTGCTGATCACGTTTCATTTTGTTTTGGGTTCTTCAGGCGATGGTATGCTCTGACGGTTTCATTTCTCGCAAGATTGAGATCGAGTAATGAGATTTAAAGTGAAGTCTATTTTTCAGACTCGTAGACAGAAAAGAACTAATTTGAGCTAGAGCAGGAGTCGACGTGCCCTATCTAGCTCTAGTCTTACTGAGGCATGTTCAGCAGCCACGGGGCCATACTACGTGAGGTATAGAGCACCAAGCAGCTGCCGTGATCCTGAATCTCTACCGCGCCCCACCACCCGATCTTTCCAACACCCCTTGGACAGAAACTTGTCAATTTGTCAAGTTTCTCCAGAGAACGTCAAACTCGCAAAGCATACCGTCCCTTAGTCTTGGGTAGGACTGGACCAAAGAGATGTCGTAAACCACCAGATTGTATTGAATCTGCATCACGAGCTAAAATCTACAATAAGGAGACCAATTCGTATCTGTCGGTTTCAATAGCTGGACATGTACAACGTGACTTGAATTGTATGCATTCGGAAACATCAGAACGAGGATAGGAGTATGGCAATCAACGTTTGGATCGGTGGAAACTCGTCTTCAGACACCGTCGACGCAGTGCTGTTTGTTTCTCCATGTGCCATTATCCGTGCTGCTCTGATCTGATCATCAGACACAGGCACTCGGTATGCGCTGGAAGTGGGCTGGCAGTAATCAAAGTGCCGTTGAAGTTAGACTTCAAGCTCGCGAGACGAGCATTTTCAAGGTTGCTTAAATTTTCGACTAAGTTCTGTTCAAGTGGTTCATGTATATGGTTTTCAGAGTAGTTGTCCGACCGATGCTTCATGGAGTTCGAAGGAAAATCTAGAGCTCGTTCCGATTGTAAGACCATACCCACCATTATGGTTTATAAGTTGTGTGGTCCGAAGAAAATTCTCTAGTTCGAAAGCCTGACACCAAAGTCGTCGGGGTTTTCGAATCACTGCCCTTACCCGTGTTTGCGAGCGTCCGCATTCCATATCGTCTGTGTATGACCACGATCGAAGTCCTCATTTCAAAATTTCGAGTGTCACGCATCTCAAAATTCGTCTCGTTCAGTGTATGTGGTTATCCTGATGATGAAAAGTCAACAAAGTCCAATGTATACGAAAACTTGATGGCATCGATGGCAGGTGTTTGATACTGATACTGGGCCATTCATGATGTCATTCAGCTGAACTTGGGTCACACCGAGAATTATAGCAAGATCTCCAACATCCGCATCGAGGGATCGGTGTCGTTGTCGAACATCAACGACTCCACGGGCTCACACAAGCCTGCTTCGAAAGCAGCAAAAGCCTTGCAAGTTGAACTTGCTCTGCAGACCTTGCAGGCAGATTCGAATTCAAAACCTCGGTACACACCGATTCGGTCAACGTCTGTTCAGAGGTTCAGCTCGCACAACAGTCAACAGTCAGGCGTCGAGCACTGGAGTTTGCACTGAGAATCGCAACAGCTCAAATGCCGATCCGCAGCGACCAGTTTGCACCGATCGCACGCTCTATTCCTCCATTCAATTTCCTCACAAATCCGACAGCAAGCGATCCACTGCCATCGCAGGAGACCGTTTTTCCACTCCTTGCAGGGTAGCCCCGGGCATTCATATAATTGCTCCGACGTCGTCTTTCGAATGGCCTGTCTCCATATCATTCATTGGCGATTCTGCTCTGGCATGACATGAACGGCGAGTCTGAGCAACGGAGCACGATTCCACTCGACCGACTTGATCAGAAGGGACGAGGAGACTCTCTGCGAGAGCTCGATTCTGCATTCCTTTCCGTTGAGGCCACAGCAAGAGTTCATGAATGGTACTACAGGCTTCACGAGGCACATGAAGTTTTTTGTATCCACCTTGAGGTTTGTTCCCAGGCAAAGCTAGACACAGAGGTGTCGGTCGAGGACATATCATAATGCTGCAGCGGAGCTGAAGACAGTCATACCTGCAGATTTGCAGATTGGCAACGATGGAGCAAGAGTTCATAAATGGTACATGGACGGCACTACAGGCTTCACGATGCATATGAAGCTTTTTGTATCTACCTTGAAGTTTGTTCCCAGGCAAAGCTAGACACAGAGGTGTCGGTCGAGGACATATCATACTGCTGCAGCGGAGCTGAAGACAGTCATACCTGCAGATTTGCAACGATGGAGCAGCGCAGCTTCATGATGCTGACCACTTCGTTTCTGCTCTTGATGAGTACGCCGTTCTACCTGCCGGTGACGGCAACCAGCGTTGGTAAGCAAAACTGAGACTCGTGATGATCCATCGATCTCTGGTCAATGACTGTCGGTTTACAATGAATGCTTGTAGGATCTCGTGGTTCACATGGTTAAACTGGCTTTGTGAAGAGCTCTCGTCGATGTTCGTTAGTGGACAAAACTGTCAGTTACAGTCCATGCTGAATGTCCAAATGGACATTCAGCGTGGACGGATTGGAGTTTTAAGGGGACCGGCCATAAGCATCTAGACTGGAGCATCACGTTTGCTACGTTGGGGCTTTAGGGTCCTCCAAAGGTCCTGTCCGGTTAGGCCGAGATGCCCAGATGGCCAGTCAGTAGGCGGTTCTCTTGGATTCTGGAGTTACTAAGCATGTCCAGGGCATACACCTGAGAACCAGATTTCAGTGGCACGTCTCTCGTGTTCGGTGCCTGTATGGGCCTTCCTCCATGGCCGTGGGTAAGGAGCCAGGAGGACGTGCAGGATTTGAGCTCAGACAAGGAGGCGAGAATCAGAAGACTAACAGTGGGTGTCGATGCAGACGGGCGATACGCATTCGTGAGGAACGCGAGCTGGGCACCGGCGAAGGCCGAGTACGACTACATCGTGGTGGGAGGGGGGGCGGCGGGGTGCCCTCTGGCCGCGACGCTGTCGACCACGTACAAGGTGCTGGTGCTGGAGCGCGGAGGAGCGCCCTTCGACAAGCCGAACGTGGTGAACGCGCTCAACTTCGCGTCCGTGCTCACGGACATCAACGACAGCACAGTGTCGCCGGCGCAGGGCTTCCAGTCGCAGGACGGCGTGCTGAGTCGCCGGGCGCGGGTCCTGGGCGGAGGGACGAGCATCAACGCGGGCTTCTACAGCCGCGCGGAGCCCGAGTGGGTCGAGGCCCGGCGCCTGGACTGGGCCCGCGTTAACCGGTCGTACGAGTGGGTGGAGTCGGCGCTCATCTCCTTCCCGCCGCTGGGCCCGTGGCAGCGGGCCGTCAAGCAGGGCCTGGTGGAGAACGGGGTCGGCCCCGACAACGGGTTTACTTACGACCACAAGCTCGGCGTCAAAGTCGGAGGCACTCTGTTCGACGAGACCGGCCACCGGCGCACGGCCGCCGACCTACTGCAGCACGCCGTCCCGGAAAACATCGCCGTCCACCTCTACGCCACAGCGCACCAGCTCATCCTCGACTTCGGCGGAGGTTCGAACCTTCTCCCCTTGAGTCGCGACGCATCCGTCCGTCGCAAGTCTCTCTCTCTCTCTCCCTCTCTCCACTAAACTTCGCTCCGAGTTCCTCGACCTCGTGACCGTCGATTCTTCAGTGGTCCATAATCGCGCCCGGCATGCTCTTTCATTCCGGGCTGTTTTCGAATATCTTGTAGATTCCGGTGCCCTGCTCCTCGACAGTCTCGTCATGAGCTCGCGTCGTCTTGTCCGACGGGAGTTTCCGGAACGCAGTCGACGACCCGACCGACAGAGTCGAGAGTGCCAACTCCGTTTGCTCCCCGTTTGACGTGGTACTAGTGTCAGGGTTGTGTACTGTACAGTAGTGTGGTTTCTTCCGTGGTGCAACATCGCGCCCGGCATGCTCATGCATTACGCTGAGTTTGGAATATTCTTGTTGATCTGGTATCCGGCGTCTCGACAGTCTCGTCATGAGCTCGCGTCGTCTTGTCCGACGGGGTTTCGGAGCGCAGTCGACGAGCAGACCGACCGAGTCGAGATTGCCAACTCCGTTGCTCCCTTCTTGACGTGGTACAAGTGCGAGGACAGTGTACTCAGTACACTCAGTACGGAAGAAACCACACTATATTACACTGTACTGTGGTGTGGTTTCTTCCGTGGTGCATCACCGCGCCCGGCATACCCTTGCATTACGCTAGATTTGAAATATTCTCTTTTATCTGGTATCCGGCGTCTCGACAGTCTCGTCATGAGCTCGTGTCGTCTTGTCCGACGGGCGTTTCTGGACCGACCGAGTCGAGAGTGCCGACTCCGATTGCTCCCCGTTGGACGTGGTAGAAGAGTGAGGACAGCGTAGGGTAGATCGAGCCGGGCATGACGATTGGTGTTACGTGCGACGATTGGCAGGCAACGGAGTTCCGAGAGCGATGGGCGTGCTGTACACGGACGAGAACGGGGACGCGCACGAGGCCGCGCTGACGGGCGCGGCCGGGAGCGAGGTGATCCTGACGGCGGGGGCGCTGGGGTCGCCGCAGCTGCTGATGCTGAGCGGCATCGGGCCAAGCGAGCATCTGAAGGAGCTGGGGCTGCCGGTGGTGGTGGACCAGCCTGGCGTGGGGAAGGGCATGTCCGACAACCCGTGCGTGACGATGCTGGTGCCGTCGCGAATTCCGCTGGAGACGTCGCTGATCGAGACGGTGGGCATCCTGTCGACGGGGTTCTACATCGAGGCGGCCAGCGGCGCCATCTCGGCCTTCGACGAGGTGCAGGCGCTGAACACGCTGGACCCGGAGTACCGCAGCCAGGCCGAGGTGGGCAACTACTCCGGCACGGTGCCGCAGTTCCCGCCGGATGCGACCGCCAGCATCTCGCAGTCGGGCGTGCTGCTGGGCAAGATCGCCAGCCCGCAGTCGCGCGGCACGCTGCGCCTCAACTCCACGGACGTCCGGCAGACGCCGCTGGTGCAGTTCAACTACTTCGGCGACGTGCAGGACCTGTACGCGTGCGTCGAGGGCGTCCGGGTCATGATCCAGCTGCTGCGGGCGAGCACCTTCTCCAACATCACGTACCCGCGCCTGCCCGAGCCCGTGCTGACCTGGGCCGGGTTCGTCGCGCCCCTGGCGCCCGACACTCTGGAGCCGGCCCTTCTGGCGCAGTGGTGTCGTCAAACCGTGCTCACCATTTGGCACTTCCACGGGGGCGCGCAGGAAGGTGTGGTGGTCGACCGCTCGTACAAGGTCCTCGGTGTCGATGCGCTTCGCGTCATCGACGGATCCACCTTCAACTCCTCGCCCGGCACCAATCCCCAGGCCACTGTCATGATGCTCGGCAGGCAAGTTCTCTGAACCTGTTCGTGGTAACGCCGTTCCCACCATCACTCTCGCTTCTCCCCTCCCCTTTGTCTTGTCTCGGCTGCAGCACGCCGCTCTTTGCGCCTTTTGTAGCGTAGCTGCGCACTTTTGTTCGGCTTTTGTGTGACACTTTGAGATTTCTGTGGTTATCATCAGGTATATGGGCCTCGAGATTTTGGATGAGAGATCGCAGAGGCGGAAAGCGAATTGAGATGGAATTGAGACCAGCGTCGGGAGTGGACCGAAAGTAGGTTCGAATGACAAGGAGACCAATCTCGCCCTTGCATCGAACTTCGGGTCGGACTGCTGGCTCTCTGCCGCTAACAACGCGGAACATATCTGCTGCAGATGAAGAGGCCTTCGAGTCATCGCCATCCAGGCGGTTGACGAGAAGCAATGTGAGATTTAGGATCGGTAGGTTGTAGAAAGATGAGCTAGGAAAAAGTGCAATGCCTTCAATGAAGTTACGGGAGTTGCGTAGAAGTCACAGACTAGAACCATTTCAGTGACATTTTGGTGTACAAAATTTGTTTGGTAAATGTAATTATGACATTCGCCGCAAACCGTTCTCTTTCCGCCGGGCTTGTCGACCATATTTCCTGCACAGCATTCTCTCCATTGTTAGTATCGTACTTGCTCTGCAGAAACCTGTTCCTAACATGTCCCGTAAAAACCTGTTCAATGTAGTATATTGATGTGTACACCAACTGTTGTGAATGAATATTTTCATTAAACAATACAAATACTATCACTATTGGTTCCTTCCACACCATAAAACTTTGGAATATATTGTCACGGCTGGTATATACTCTTATCTAATTATCGTGGTTAAAACATTATAAACACAATGTATACTCACATATTCTCATTATTTATGGATCTGTTTTCAACATCACTGTCTACGATTTATTGTAGGATAATTAGAAAAGATGATGTATTTTAGCGTGTAAAAAAGCTAATAAGGAGAGATTAGCTTACCTCATAGTTAGACGATTACACATACATTATACATATTTATCACATACAGAGTTTTCTTTCGACATTAGTAATTGTTTTCACTATTTTGTACATTTACAATTTTTACCTAGGGAACATAGCTTGAGCTTAGCAAGACTTAGAAGACAGAGAGAGTGGAATCGTACCTGATATTTGTGCGCTACCATGTGCGACCTATATCGTGTACTGCATTCGGAAGTAAGCCCAAGTATCTTCTGGCAGTTTTTCCGGAATATCATATACACTCGCTTATGTTCTGATTTGACAGTAAACACAACTATTTCTTTTGAGTTACTCTTTCCTCAATCTTGGTCTTTACATTTCGTCATTTTTTTAGGAACTTTTACGTGCTGGAGGAAACCTCTCTTTTCGCATTTTCAACATCTACAATCTCAGTGCTGCACTCCACAGATGTTCAACTGCCATTTCTTAGACAGTAAATTGTCTGTTTTGAATGGTGTGTATGGTATGTCACACATTTTGACTGATGCAGAAGAGTGAAGAGTTCTACAAAAGCATCTTCAACCACCCACTCTTCAGTACAACCGTTCAAACGTTCCGATTATTTCCTTCCTTCTCCTCGGGCAAAAGTTAGAAACTGGAATTTAGAATAAAGTTCTCCTTTCAGTTATCGATTCGACCGTAGGCAGAATCATTCAGAACCTACGCAATAGAGAAGATAATCCGCTAGCGTCGTCACAAGTGACACGCTACTTCAGTGCGTTGCAAACACAACTTCTCCAGCATGATCACATGTACCTGTGAAGATAACTCCTGCAGACTTTTCATGTTCTGTACGTTTTGCCCGAAGGATGAGGCAAGGGCCTAAAGAGAGCCAGTTTTTCGACTCTCTTCGTTTGGCACGAAGAAGAGCCGAAGACACCTGGGATGCGCAAAAAAATATTTGATGCACATCAAAGACTCAGCCCCACACAGAATGTTGAAAATTTATTGCAAAACCGGGAGAAAATGGAATCATCATATTACATAGTCAGACCAGATGCTGATGAAAGACGTGTGGTCCATCGTCTCACTGGGAATGTCCTTCAGCTCGGCAGGTCTTTGCTTACCACCTACCAGCCGTGCCGGATTGCCCACGGCAGTAGTGTGAGGCGGAACATCATTCAGGACTACCGACCCAGCTCCAATTTTCGCTCCTTCTCCTACACAAATTGGACCCAATATTGTGGCACCAGCCCCGATCAACACTCCATCACCAATCTTCGGATGTCGGTCGCCGCCCATTGACCCCGTCCCTCCGAGGGTGACGTGATGCAGAATAGATACATTGTTACCTATGGTGGCCGTCTCACCAACCACAACTCCGGTCGCATGGTCGAAGAGGATTCCGCTGCCAATTTTGGCCGCAGGGTGTATATCTACATGGAATACCTCCGACACTCGGCTCTGAATCGCTAGTGCTAACGACTGCCTCCCTTGTGACCACAACCGATGAGCAACTCTATGAGCTTGTAATGCAAGAAACCCCTTGAAATTCAACAGGCACTGTGAGTATGAGATGCACGCTGGGTCTCTGTCTTTGACGGCTACTATGTCTGCCCGGATGCTACTGCGGATAGTATTGTCCTCCATGATGGTGTCGATAATCACACTTACCAATTGCGTGCTAAGGAATGTCACGCTGCAGAGCTTGTTTCCAAGGTGAAAAGCAAGAGAGCGTTCTAATGATCTATGGGCAAGAATAGTGGAATACAAATAGCTAGCTAATGCGGGCTCTTGCTCTGAGTCGATTCGCGCCTCGGCGCGCATCGCCATCCAAATTTCATCTTCTTCGTCGAGCAAAGGAACTCGACTGGTGGCGATCGGTGCCTCCACAGCTCTTCCGGCCGTATCGGACAGACTGTGTTCGAAGGCACCCCTGAAATTCTCCCTAATAATGGTTAAAGCATGTTGATCGCTGCCTGCGCCCCGTTCCTCCATCAAGAGGGACGAAGGAACAATGATGTCCGCATTCCTGCTCCTCTTCGTGTTCTTCTTTCCCCAGGCAGACGAGCTTGACCACACAAGTACTGATGTATTGACATTGGATGGAGAGAAAGAGGTCGACACTTTGAGTGAATCCGCAGTGGGGAATGAAAGGGCTGCTGAAGAAGACTTCCCAAAAGCTGAGATAGAAGAGACTGCCGGTTCGAAAAGCCTTGCCATACTTGAGATCCTCAGTCTTGATGACAGGGGCGGTTACCAATCTTGAATACACTGAGGAAGAGGCGGATAGTTCACAATTCTCCCGGCAAAGAATCCTCCCCCAGTGATTTCAAGACAGCAGGCACGCGCTGAGACGAAGACATCTCCATCTGCCGCTCCTGCCGTCAGACACTTGTTAGGCAAGGGCGCGCCTGAACCCTGAAAATCGCAGCGGTGACGACCAGAGATCTGGTAGAAGCGGCGATCGACTAACAAAAGAAGAACAGCCCGAGTACCACGATACGACTGTCAAGACAAAGGTACGATCTTCCCTCGCTTCTCGCAAGTGCTCTCGCGCTTTTCGCTACCTTCGGTTCTGTGCATTCGAATTGCCCTATCTTACAATGCGATCTCCGAAGAGTGTGTGGGTACTGGAAGGACTCTGTTCCTTTTCACCGTGAGAAACTCCGACCTGATCCGGAGGCTCCAATCTCTATATGAAGGCCTGCGGGATGGCTATGGCTCAATGCCGTTTCAGTTAGGGCGACTGCCCCACCCTTCCTTCCTACCCGGCTTCCTTCCCTCCCTCTCCTGCTCCTGATGTCGGATGCTCGCCTCTCCGTTAGAATATTCTTGTCCGCTCAGAACTCGCCACTCCGATGATCCGATATTCCAGGACTTTCCCACCCGTCTCGTCCTTCCCGACTAGGACGTCTTAGGGTGACATCGAATGCTGACTACTTGCCCAGCATTGGCTACAACTCGCCTTGCCTTGCACTCCCTGCCCAGCAAGTAGACCGGGTCTCTGGCCCCAGAGTGCGCTCATTGTTTATTGGCTTGCATTTATTCCTCCAGCCTGATATCAGCCCACCAGTGGTATTCCCATTTTCTCAAATTCGTCTGGTATTCCCATTTTATCATATTCGTCTGCCTGGCTACTCTTCCTGGGGTTCTCAGAGGCAGAGATCGATCCCATGCGTGTAGTAAAACGCATGGGATCGCTCCATCTGCCTCCCCGCCTTTCTTCCTCACCAACATCATTAGCAGAACGGCGAGATCTTTCCAGCCTTTTTCAAAAGGGTTCAATGAAAAGGAGTTGTTGGGTACTGCGGTTAGAACCTCCGATGATTTGGTCGAAACAACCTTTGGATTTTCAATGACATCATCATCAAGTGACGCCAATGGCTCTCTCCGAGAGAATGAAGAACAATTTAAACTAACAAAAGGGATGGAAGACCCGATTGGGTAAAATGCGGCTAGCCCCGGTAGCAATATGTCCTACAGCATAAAGATTTCCTAGATACAAGGTTTGCCAACAACAGACCAACCGAAGATGACTCTCTTCTACCGATCGACATCTCCAGACTACCTGGTGCTGCCTCCGGTTGTTAGGCTTGCCTTACCATGGTTGGTGTTCTTCCCGCGACACTTGGGGGGGCACCTTGGGATTTCATCGCCTGCTCCATACACGGCTGGAAAATACGTGTTGACTTTGTGGAGGATCTTCTATCTCTGGGGTCTCCCTCACTCACTAGTTTTCTCCGAATCTTTGACCAGCAGATGGCGTCACTTATGGAGCAATTCGGCTCGCTTCCAGTGACTGAGAAAAATTTATTCCTTTTTATTATCTGCTTGTTTTGCGTTTCCTCTTACTATAATCACACGAAGGCGCCTTGGGTACGTACCAATTAAATTTCCATGCAAGAATTTGAACCCTACTTCTGCCATAATTTTAGAGCTTGTGCTCAAGGTCTTCTACAAAGTTCCCGAGTCCACTGTTGCAGCATACTGTTTCAGGTTGGTACGTTGGATGCCAAAATTCTTAACCTGCAAAAGCCGATAAGTAACTAGTTTTATCAGTCAGTCAAGCCTGCTTTCAAGAAACAAACCGTCCGACAATGTACACTGTAAAACGTTGTCTCTGTCTTCTAGAGGGATGATGACATATCTTGCTTTCGACCACTGAAGATTTTTTTTCCTAGACTCACCGTCGTAGGATGAGTACGACACTTGATATCATTGTTGGTTACGAAAGAAGACGATCCATTGGTTACATACATCAGCCTTTCACATCCGCTTGAATCAAGCGAACGAACGTCTCGATACGTCTCACGGTAACTATTTTCGCCGAGGGTTGACGTATCTTGCACTCGTCTAGAACAATTCGAACAATGTTGTGTTTGCTAGAGTCATCGACGTGGTACAAAGATGAAGACGGATTGGAATTGCCTACTGCAGACAAAGAAATGAGGCTCATTTCACTCGCTGTCTTGACCAGATAAGGCCCTATCATAATCCGCATGTCCGTACCTGGTCCGTCTTATCGACATGAAAGAAAAGCCGATCGAAAACATGAACTCGTCGACGCTCAGGTCATCATACGACGTCGAGTTTGAACTTTCCGACAACCGAGGTGGTCAGATAGAACCCCCATTAAGAAAGGAAGAAAGAAAGAATGGTCGATCGGTCGATCTTTAAAGCTAATTCCGATTTCAAGAAGACATAAAGTTCATTATCCCGATTATTGCAGACCCTTCGCGTCCACGACCGAAAGCCCTCCTGGCCGGGGGCCCCATCACTTTACCGAAGCAAAGCACTTCATACTGTTCCCACCCAAAGACAAACCTTCGCCCTCGTCCGTCGTCCGCCATCGCTCGCGAGCTTCACGGTGCACCTCGTCCTCCGCTTCCGAATCAGGGCTCAGGGGCTGAGGATGAGCTCTAAACCAGAGTTACGAGTCATAACCCTCGATCGGAGTTGGGTTCGGGTTTCCCAACTCTGGTTTAGGGCTCATCCTCGGCCATCTCATAACTTATGAGATGGCCAGGGCGATCACCGGTTTAACGTCCAAGGCGGTCGTCTGCGGTTGCGGTTGGTGCGCGGACTGCATGGCACGGGAGTGACTAGAAGCCCGCTCCCGCCCGTGGCTACTCGGCATTCAGCGAAACCGGATCACTTTTGTCCGTCGGTCCTTTGGCCAGGGTCCTGCGGAGGAGGAACGAGCTCATGAAGGTTCGCGGACGGGTCAGTCGGCTGACCTGCGATTGGTGCACCAATGTGGCGCCAGATAACCCCCGGGCAGGCGACGCAGTTCAAACAAGCCAGGCAGCGTCGCAGTGTGTGTGTGTGGTGGACGTGGCTCGCAGCGCCAACGCTGACTTGTCTCTGCGGTCCTGGGCCGTGTGGTCACCGGTCCCGCGGTCCGCCCCACCCTTTCCTTGCGGCTTTCGGAACGGACTCCAGTATAATCGCCGATTTCTGTGCAACCTCCTCCCCCTCGCTCCCGAAGACCTGCCTCTACGTACACGCCCCACGTGCGTCCGCTCGGTCCTACTAGGCTCCAACGCATTCCTAAAACGTCCCCGCTTTCCAGGTGACGGGTGGCGGAAGCACATGAACGTCCGGTTCATGGCCGGACGGGTCTCACATCTCTGCTTACATCGACGGACGTATGGCCAGAAACGCAAGAGTCAGGTACAGGATGGCAACACTAGATGCTCTCTTCTCTACATTATATTCTGTCAGTCCTGAAGCTAAACTCCTCCACAAAATTAAGCTGTGAAGAAGTAAGACATGAATAGCGAGGATATTGAAATTGAAGCTCACTTTAGATTCCTCTGCTGCAGACCACGTCTGCTACAAGAACCTCCCGGGTTCTTGTACTGGAAAGCATAAGAATTTGTTGCGAATCAGTTGATAGAATCTGGTTGGCTTGCTCGTTCGACACCGAATTGAACCACACATTCAGCAGAGCGAGCAAAGTTTGCAGGAGGTAATTCTACGGTAGTAGACTGCAGTGTTGGGCAGTGTACAGTTCTCGACCTGACCAGATCTGAGCTACGTGTAAAGTAGTTTCTGGAGACAGAGTTTCCACTTGTCTTTCGAACTACAACCCAGACCTGCCCTCACCTCTCATTTGTCCCTACACCTCCTTCTAGATTTTGTCCTAACGATGCGAACGGGGACAAAGTGAATAGCTATTCTTATTCCCATGATCACTTTCGCTTGTGGTTCTCTGCACTCTGGACCAACTGCATAAATGAGTCTTTCCTTTTTGGGTGCACTTTTATGCTCGCGTCCTTGTTTTTCGTTCGAGATTGACGATTTCGTTTGTAGTCCATCCTTCTGTGTGGATTAAATCATCATGTCATGTTTTGTTACAGAGGAAGACTGGATCAGAACCAAAACGGTAGACATGTTATGGATTTTGACCAATTGGTGATGACTTCTATCTTTTCGTTAGAGAGTCCCAGGTCGGGAAATGATGGCCTAGATTCTTTACGTTGGCAAAGACGAAACGGACAAATTTCTAGCTTTCACGACTACTGCGGTACCTGTTGCTAGTGCAGTAGTGTATAAGTAACAGTTGGACGATGTCACATGGCTCCTAATTTTTTGTAGTCAATGGAGATGACGATGATCGAATCAAATTCTACTTGTGACTCCCTTTTCCCTTCTCTTCTCTGATCCCCTTTGTATGTAGCTTTCTCTACGTTTGTACAAACCTCTAAACAAGAATCCTTTGTATGCTATGAGCCAATGGTCAACTATAAGTGAGAGAAAAAAGTTGGAGTTTCTATATTGTGGTCGATACATGACCAAAATGAGTGGCCTACACAACGAATTGACCCAAAATTTATTCCAGTCGATTTGTACACATGGGACATGGGACATGAGACAAGTGGGCATGTGATTTGCATAGGTCGATCTGTGACATCATCCCTAGACACAAAAGATCCCTTACTCAGAATTGGGAAGCTGATAGCAATTCGTATGATCATCGTCATTAATATCACGCATAGATAAAATTTATCCTTCATTTAAATCTATCGATAAGTTATACAATGTATATTTTCACGTTCATTCTTTGCGTGAAATACCACATGACTTTATCAACAACACTCAACGTTTGACTTAAGTTGTTATGATTTTAAATTATTACCAGAATCATTGACTCTTTGGCATACAGAGACTGGTGAAATGATTCATCGGACTCATAAGTGAGTAGCCACCAACAATTGATGATGTCTAAGCCTACTAACCTTGGGACAATTATTCATATATAGTTTCAAACAGCAGCCAGTTGATTCTAGAATCATGAGTACTTTCGACTTGCGCATACTATTCATGTTTGGTCTTGTAAAGCACAAGAAGCGAGTAGCTATTTAGCTATGTTGGGAAATCATATATCAGATGATGTTTAGAATAGACACATCAATAACAAGATTATAGTTTTGAATGCTCTTTAAAAATTTTGAACATATTTGGTTATTTTGATTAAATCTTGACTTTTTATGATCAAATCTAGTATAAAAAATCACCTTGATGAGCTACTTTGAAGATATGATCTTTTTCTTTTAAATTAGACCAAAGTTTCAAGCTCACGTATTTTCTTCACTAATGACCATATTTTTCATGTTGGTTTTATGTCTTATGCATACAATCCGTATCTAATATTAACATCAATAC